GCTATCACGGCGCAAGCCAGACATCTACCTCTGCAACCCGCAGTTAAACGTTCTCCTCCGAAACAATCAATGAGTGACACCTCATTAGATATTGGTGGCCATGTTGCTACAGCAGCAACCGGTGACCCAAATAAAACAATTACTGTCCCGAGTTGTTCTAATGTAGACGATTCGACTGGTGGAAAATGGATGACGCGAAAACGCAGAAGAGTAGGAAAGATAGCTAAAACTAATGACTGTTTACTTGAAAAGTCCTTGGTGGACTCTCAGACCAATCCGCCAAAGCTCCAAAGAAAAGCTTCGTCTAACACTGTTGTGAGTCACTCACAGGACTCTGTTACAATAAAAGCTAATCGTAAGATACCAGTAGTTAAAATACAGGATCTATCGTCACGGTCGAAAGCTGTGAACACAGTTTCAAAGGAAGCTAAACCCCTCCCTAGTTTAATTATTTGGAATCTAGAGGAGTCGAAAGACAACGACCTTGCTAGAAGACATGCACATGACCTGCAGTTAGTGGAGTCTGTGGTAAGGAATGTACTACGTGAAGAGGTTTAAGGGGTACATATTACAAAAGTAATACGACTTGGTAAATGGGTTGGAGGCGAGACCCAACCAAGAAGAATCCTGAAGCTGGTTCTCGGGAGTTTCGAAGAAAGAGACATATTATTGAAAAACGCACTAAAAACTCGTGCCTCAAATATCCGTATTCGACCAGATTGGCCGCTTGAGGATCGAATCAAGTGGAAGAATGCTCTTACGGAGTTGAGGACTCGCAAGTTAAATGGAGAAAATAACCTTACCATTAAGGGTTTTCGGGTAGTCAGGTCTTGGAAGCCAATGCTTCCGAGGCCTGTATGGGTAGAACGATTGATTTCCAAAACACCTTAAGTGTGTGCTACACGAACGCTCGTAGTCTTAGAAACAAAACGTCCGAGCTAAGTCTGATGGTGAAAGAATTATGTCCCGATATAATCGTTGTTACAGAAACTTGGTTCACCGTTGATATAGACTGTCCTCCTCGCATTGCTGGTTATATCTGTATTAGAAGTGATAGAGTTTCAAGTCGCAAAAGGGGAGGTATAATATTATACGTTAGGGATCACTTTCGTATACAATCAACCATATCAGAGGCTCATATCAGTGGCACATGTGAGGTGGCATGTTGTAAAATTAAATCTAGAAATGGGTTAGTGACTATAGGGGGAAGATACCGTAGTCCGTCTTGTCTTGCTGACGACTTTATCCTAAGACACATCTGTTCTTGGAGTATGGCAGAATGTTGTCTCATCATTGGGGACTTCAACGCACCGCATAACAGCCGAATAGAGCTTACAGCTCCAGGTAGTGGTTTCGATAGCGACCTTTTATCTACCGTTATTCAGTGTGCACTTGTACAATGCATCACAAAACCGAAACATATTGATTTGCAACATGATCCGTCACTGCTGGACCTCACCCTCACCCACCACTGTGAGGATGTCTTTGATATCCAGCACCTTTCTCCACTAGTGAACAGTGATCACGTTGTAATTCACTTTAAGTTTAGGACACATGGTATACAATTCGTATCTGCTCCACCCCGCCCCAATATCTGGCGAGCTAATATTCCGGAAATCAGAAACTGTGCTTTCTCGACTGATTGGTCGGTCGACGCGGATGGATTGATCGAAGATGAATGGAGTAAGTTTAAGGCTACATTCGAGTCCGTAACGTCGCCGTTTATCCCATGGTCAGCACGTAAGCCATCACATTGCCCTCCATGGATTAATAAGGAAACCCGGAAGCTGTTAAAGCGTAGGAAACATTTCTGGGACTTATTCTTGTTGACAGGTCATGCACCATTTAAGCGTGAGTACCAAAAATACCGTAAAATCTGTAAGAAAACCATAGCCAAATCCCGTACCATTTACGAACGACAGTTAGTATATGATAGCCGTACTTGTCCGAAACGATTGTTTTCGTATGTTAAACGGCAAATGAAACGTAGTGAGGGTATTCCTCCGTTACTGTTACACGAAAATTCAGAATTACTAGCTGAATCAGATTGAGCAAAAGCTGAGACTTTTTCAGACTATTTTAGCGAAGTCTTCTCTACGTTTATTGTAACAAATACTTGTTCCACTCACACCGAGATACCAACCATTGAATCTGTACAGGTGACTGAGGAAACTGTCCTTCCGTTGATAACTAACCTCAAACCTGGTAAGACACCGGGCCCTGACGGGTTACATCCGCGGTTGCTGTCATCTCTTGCGGACATTATTTCAAAACCGCTTGCGACACTCTTCAACATGTCCCTCTCACTCGCTCAACTCCCTAGAGATTGGAAGGACGCTATAGTTAGTCCTATACTTAAGGACGCTCAGCGACAGATAGTATCTAACTACCGGCCTGTCAGTCTAACTAGCATAGTCGTTAAGTTACTTGAAAAGATAATTCGGGTTAGGTTGCTAAGCCACATAGATTTACACAATCTGTTAGCTCTTGAGCAACACGGATTTCGTAACAAGCGTTCATACTTGACTAACTTGCTTATTGCGAGGGAGGATTGGACAGCAGCCCTAGATAACGGTCTGTCTGTCGATGAGATATTCATAGATTTTAGCAAAGCGTTTGACAAGGTTTCACACGTAGGTCTTATGCAGAAGCTCACGAGCTTCGGAATAATAGGTACTGTACATGCGTGGATAGGAAATTTCTTATGCGACCGCAGACAGAGAATGAGGGTCAACGGAACGCTATCCGATTGGAAGCCGGTCAAAAGTGGTGTACCCCAAGGCACCATCTTAGGCCCTCTGCTCTTCCTTCTCTACGTTAATGAGTTACCGCTGTTACTTAGGCCGTCGACATTATTGTTGGCGGATGATGTAAAAATCTGGAGAACAACAAAAAGTGCGGCTGATCATGTGGATCTTCAAGCTGACTTAGACGATTTAGTTAGATGGGCTCGAGAGTGGGGCTTAGAAATCAATGCTAGGAAGAGTGTACTAATGCACATCGGTCACGGTAATAGTTACCGTTATTCTATTGAGGGTAAACCTCTTCCATGCGTTCAAGAGCATAAAGACTTAGGAGTAGTATTAAGTCATGATTTAAAAACAACTACGCATCGCAAAGCAGCCGCTGTCAAAGGTTTTCGAGCGTTATGGTCACTTCGCCGAGCGTTCAAATCTTTTGACGAGGAAACGTTTCGAATTTTATATCCCATATATGTTAGACCACATTTAGAGTACTGTATCCAAGCAGCTCGCCCGTGTCTGGTAAAGGATACTAACTCCCTTGTGTGTGTGTCCAGCGTGTGGGAACGAAATTAGTGAAGGGTCTTTCTAGACTCCCTTACGATGAGCGTTTAAAACGCCTAAATCTTTTCCTCTTGTCGTATCGTAGGACACGAGGTGACCTTATACTGGCATTTCGTATCTTTAATTATGATTTGGGTGTTAATATGTCTTATCTTCTTGCTCCCTTCAGCACTAATAATCTTTGAGGTCATAGCAAGAAGGTTCATAAACCAAGATCTAATAAACTTAAAGTGGGGTCCCGTTTTTCTCATCGAGTAGTCAATGATTGGAACGCCTTACCCGAACAAGTGGTATCAGCCCCATCAGTGAATACTTTCAAGGAGAAGCTGGACCTTCACTGGAAAGCAATGTGTCAGGATTAACACAGGTTCATCAACCTACTATCCTTATTACTGAAGGCTGAATACTGAATACCGCTACCATGAAACACGTGCCACGTAAATCAGAAGGCGAAGTTTGAACGTAACCAAATTAATCCATAAAATTCCCGAGAAACCTAATATCAGAAGGCAGTGAATGGACCAAGGCGAGATATATTTGCTGGTGATCTCGTGGTATCGAAATGATACCGAGATCGTGCCAGGATACAAGCTTGGTTACAGAACGTAACCGAATTAGCGCGAAGCCACAATCAAAGTGTAAGAATAAGAATGGAAGCACAATATAGCTGTCATTAGCACGGTCAAACAAAAACACATTAAAATAAACACTGGTGCAGTTGGTTATAATGATAATTGTTTTTATTAAACCAGTCGTGTTCTCGTGATAAATGTGAGTCACTTTAGGACGATTCAGTGTGAACTATTATATGGCTTTCATGTGACGTCTGATAGATTAAGCAGTCACATCATGACAAGTCAACAATTTTGGAATAATGTCTATTGTTATTATGAAATTGAAAATCAACTAATATTGAACTAGACCATGATTCTACGACCCTATTACTTGTATATAATTTAAATTACTCTTTCGTTATATCCAGCTGCTGTGGTTAGCTTGAAAACTGTTTATTACAATTAACGTTATTACAGTACGATGCTAACAGTGGAATTTTCAGCTAACAGAGTAGATCTACTGTGGCATAATTCAGTCTATTGCGTTTCAACAAGAATTTGTCGTTGGCTGTTATTAACGTTGTCGGGGATCGGCAAACTGTTCAATGTTCAGCTACCTGACCGCAAGGGTCACAACATTTCGCCGGCCCTACAAACGTCAACATTTGCAGCCAACAAACTCCCTACCTGGCAATGTGATGGTTGTTTTTCACAGAAACCTTATTACTCGAAAACAATCATACATTACAAGACATACAAACTCATATATAATAATCAAATGGCTGGTTCAGTGGCTTAGCTTACACCCATCAGACATACCTAGGAACGTAGTGAGAAAACGAGAAGCGAGTCACTAAGACATTGAGTATTGGAAATTTGATAAGGTCATTCCGAATGATTTGTAGGTCGCTCTCTGGTTTGAAAAGTCTTCAGCTTATTGGTTTCTGTTAGTTCGGTTTCGCTATCTCCAATAACGCCTCCATTTTTAATTACTTATCAAACTTTCAAATTCCACAATTCCTATCCATTCCAAGTCTCCCACTCAGTTTTGTGGATATAAAACAACAGTATATTTCTCTTTTAGAAGTCGTACAAACATAGCACTACCTACATTCAAAAAATCAAGTGAAAACTTATAGCTATGTCTTTGTCTACCATTAAGAAACACATAGCACGATGTAATCAGGTAAAATCTTTGTCTTATCCCTGAAGTCTGCTTGACAGTTTTTATCCGAAAAATTGGGAGCTACCAAGGGCATGGACAAGGGTCCTGATTACAAACAACTAACTCAGGTTGGTTCAAAATACTTTCGTACCATTTTGACTAAGCTTTTGGTAAACTGTTAGGGGAAACGAACATATGAAGCATTATTACGCTTGCAAACTTGGTATTGAAATTGGAATGTGATTGTACGATGATAGTCATTTATAGCCATCAAAATGTATGAAAAGTGGTTAAAGACTAGAACTTTCATTTATAACGTATAAAACGAAAAACGAGACCCACTGTTTACTACGATACATTACATGAAATGAGCCACAGCAGCTTAACTTTGACTGGTTGTTGAGTTCTCATCAGCCACTTACAACCTCTAGTTTTTAGAATTCATAATTATAAAATAATTTGAAGACACAATTATGTTTAGTATGAGGTTGTGTTAAGTGAAAAGGGGATTACCTTAGGCTTTTTGAATATCTTCCCAAAAACGTTCGATTAAAAAAATGCTTTAAATGGATCTGTCTGTAAACATTCTTGGCCACAGGACACTAGGTTGTTACTTTAAAATACTTCGAGATGATTGATGGGAAGCCAAACTCCTGTTTTCAAAAGCCCGTTGGGACTATTACTGTCCTTTGTATGAACATTTCCAACCTGTTTTCTAATCATGATTTTTAAATATTACAGAATGTAAGCATCTGATTAGAACCTAACAAAATAGAATAAGTTCATGTTTGTCCACCTAATTATTTGTTTTTGTTTCCTCCAAAACGTTAAAGGGAACTGTGTTTATAAGATACTATCAAGTTATTTTTTCTCTCCCCACACGGTTCATTTCAAGTCGTCGGTCTCAGTCTGATGACATGTAAGTGTAGATACTTTAGTAAGCGAATTCGTTCTAAGACTTATTGGTGGACGAAGCCAAATACTGAATCTAGGTCAGGAAATGTGACTCCAGTCAGTCGTCGCTGCATATACCCGGAGTAAAAATTGTCGTGTCATTTTCTTTCGCTCAAAAAAATTCCTCGTCATTCAATATCACCAATATATAGCCTATCTTGGTTCAAAATTTTCAGGAAACGTTGAAGTATAAAAAGCCATCTCAAGGCAACAATTCAGAAACTAAAAGTATTTGAAGTTTAGCGGTTCAGATTCTCTACTTACGACTACTTCGTCATGTTTTCTAAACCCATTCATTTTGCTGTGGTTAAAACGGTTAGTTAATCTCAATGCAGTAGATTTGACCCCTAACTCAATAAAACAGCTTGTAAATAGTTAGGGAGTCAGGATGTTCATGATTTTTTGTGAGAATACATAAACATATGCTCCAGACTTTCACAACTGAAAATTCTCGTATACTCTGCATAATATTAAAGAGAAAATATGAATCGAAGTCTGATTTAAATACACAAGCAGTTCATTTGGTTGCTATATGTTTTTTGTAACTTCTTTAATGGTACGCTTTCCCTAGAATAGTTGAGTAGATTTAATTTATTGCCAATTTTAAAGGTTTTGGTGTCAGTTAACTTATTAATAGTGAATTTGGCTTCTGTTTAATCAAGTTTGGTTAGTAGGAATCATAACTTATTTTAATCGATCAGTAATACTTCATGACATACTTTTTATGTTTTAAATCAAACAGGTTTATGTAAGCTAATTTCAGCATTAACTTGCACTATTTGTAGCAAAAATGAATGGCAGCTGTGTTTAGTTTTGATCATGTTTTTAGTTTGGCTTCTAAGGCGCAATTTTTTTAGACACAGCATCTTAACCAAACTTTGGGTTGACTGGGTTTGACGGTATCGAATATTCAAATACGATAGATGTATCACGTCACATCTGATCAGATTACCATTCCTGTGTTCAAATTAGAATCCATAGATAACAGATAAATTTTTGCTGAAGCGTAGTTACTAAACTTTACTTGAACATTAATTGTGTTGTATGTGTGTATGTACCATCTCATCATTACAATTAAATTGGATTAGCACTTTACAAGTGTCTCATATCGAGTTGTTGCTGTCGTTTATTCAAAATAGAATACGTACATAAACAACTGCAGTTTCTACTACTAAAACCTTGTAAACCATGTTGGTAGGTGTAGACTATCTGGTTGGGGACCACGAGATGATAGCAACCGATGGTTAGAGACCCTGAATGACATGGCTCAAAATCGTTTGCAATGGCGCAGGTGCATCCACTCTTTGTGTTCTCCCAAATTCTAATCTTCTGAATTCTTCATGTCCCTTTTTTCCTCTTTCCAAATTTATTTCACTGGATTATACTCTTTAAATAACATCTCCAAACCCTAATCTTCCCGATTACTGCTTATACTCTTGCTACCTCTACCACTACGGAATTTGAGTCGACAACTGCATCTCTGTGCTAATGTGGTGTGGCAACTCGAACTGATGCACGTACGTACGAAGTTCTACGTTGTTACTGACTGACTGACTAATTTTTGCTTCCAGTTCTCGCTTAAACAAAATGTGGACGACTTTCATCACTAATATACCATTTTTTAAATTCTTAGCTTTCGTCATTTACTTAATATATAGAATCGGGTCGTGACTGAACGTGGAGGTTGTACTTTACTTGCCGTATTAGGCATTAGCTTTCCATATCACTGGCTTACTATTCCTTGTAGAATCGAATCAATAAACATACTTTTGATCTTATATAAGCGTTTCGTCTCATGCTTCATTCCCTTTTTTAATCTTAAAAAGCTTATAGACTCATACAAAGCCTTTTATGAAGATGTACAAAAGCGCGTTATTGACTGTTTAGAACCTAACCCTAATGCGCGAAAACGAGCATGGGCTAGTGCTGCCGTAAATAAAATTCAGGGAAGCACAAACAATGAGAATTATCCTCATGCAGAGAGGTTTCTTTCTGATTGCTTTTTGGAGTATGGAAAACAATTAAGTCAGCAACCCGGTTTGAGTAAGTTTTTATGTTTTGGAAATGTTGTTTTTGCTAATATTTACGTCGTCTCTCAATTACTGTGTCAGCGTATCGTATTTCACGCAACTTTAATACTTTGTGTCATTCTCTTGGTAATATGCAAATCTGGATAGCTAAGTGCAATTGCTCTCAACTGGAAATGGATATTCAGTTTACACCTAGTAACTTGTGAACAACAGTTTGCGTTGACAAGTATTTACACTTGTGCAACGGTTTTGTAGAATGATTACTTATAAGGGCGTTAAATGTTTCCTTAAAACTTTCCGCAAACTACTTTAGCTAAACTTTCTGTGACAAAATAACTTTCACACATTGTGCGTCCAGTAAACCGATTCCAAAACCTCTGTCTTAGTAGAAAAGTGAATTGGATTATTGGGTATCTTAGGTCACTATTATGAATCTCATCCCATTTATCTCATAACACAATCGACTAATTTGACTATCACTTGTGACCTGGTAATTTGATTGACTTGAGACCAGTCGGTTACAAGCTCAAGCTAAAACTATCTGAATAAGTTTAAATAGGTATGAAGTATTGTTTGTTGTTGTTTAATAAGTAGGGTTCATGGCACAACTCTAATATAGATAAAATTACCCTATCGTATTGGTTTTATACCAAACTGTGTGTTCTGCATTTTCCCGAATGGCTTTATACAAATACGTTTCCAGAATATGCTTCTCATTGGTTACTTCTAGAAAGTATAATACTACCTCGCATTAATTTCTATGTGTTTTGCCGTTTCTTTTTTTAATAATATCATCAAGGTCTGGCACTTATTCAATGTGGAGAAGCATACAATAAAATTGCTGAATCAAAAAATCAGTCGGTAGATGAAACAAAATCTGGCTATTTACAACCGATTTCTGAGAAGTTACACCGAGATATCAGGAAAATATCAGTAGGTTTTTAACGCATATTTATATTTATTTTTGTAATTGAGTAAATGATATATGCGCACTTGTAACCGTTCAGATTTATGTATTTGCAACACTTCTTGTTTTCGGTACTCATACGTCAAAGCTGTCCACTATCTCCGTTTTTGTCCAACTTCATCATAGACGTACTGACGGTAACAACGTTCTGGTCGACTAAATTTCGACTTAAAATACGCAGATGACATAGTCCTGTTTGCTGATAAAATGAAGAGTGTTTTGTTAGCACCGCGCAACAATGCCAGAATTTTTGGGATGCGTTTCTCCCTCTCTAAGTGCAAGTTGTTGCTTCAGGACTGACCTGCGTCAACACCTGAACTAAGGATAGAGAGTGAAGTAGTCGAACGCTCCGACAACTTCACTTATCTCAGAAGTCTGGTCAGCCCTAATAGGTTGGTATCTGACGAAATTTCGGCACGGATTCAATAAGCCCGTTTGGCTTTTGCCAACTAACGTCACCACATATGACGAAGGCGAGGTATCCGTCTATCAATTGAGGGACGAGTATACTGCTTGTCAGTTTGTTCTGTTCTACTTTACAACTGCGAAACGTGACCATGAAGAGTAGAAGATACTCGTAAGTTACTAGTATTTGATTACAGATGCCTTGGAAACATTGCTCGTATCTGATGGGATCACCGGGTAAGTAATAATGAGGTTAGACACAAACTATTAGGGAATGATGGTAAATCAGTTGATGAGATTGTAAATCTTCATCGAGTGAGATGGTTTGGCCACCTGTCACGTATGCCTGAACACCGTTTACCACGACGCACAATACTGACTAGTATTGGAGACGGCTGGAAGAAAGTTAGGGGTGACCAAACCAAAAGGTGGCATCAGTCATTGAAGTAACTTACTTTTGGTCTGATCCATGTTAGAAGATGCGGACTACTTGCTAGTGGTCTGCGTGACTATCGTAACCAATGGTTGGAGACTGTGGGTGACATGGCTCATAATCGATCATGATGGCGTCGGTGTATATACTCTCTGTCTTTCCTTAAACCATGAGATTAAAATTACTTTATACCTTTTTTCCTACGAACCAGTTCTTTTTTCCTGTGTTATATCCTTATACACAATCTTTCTTTTATATATTACTATCATTGAAGTAAGTACTTGTATGAATTTGGTGTTGGTGTTGTGTTAATGAGGTGTGGCAACTTGGACCTATGCATATATGTACATGATCCTACGTTGTAGCTAACTGACTGACCGTATAGTAGTTATTTGTTTTACTAAAAATTGTAAATACTTTTTTAATTTGTCTTTTTTTCTCTTGTATTACATTATCTATTTGGATCATCATGAGGAAGTTTCAAAATGTTTATGATTATATGCTCAAAGTTAAGAGTCACTATATTGGAAACAATTTATTGTGTGTTCCATTGTTGTTGTGAATTATAACTTTAATTATTTTTTATAGGTACTTCGAAGAAAAGTTGAAAATAAACGATTAACGTTTGCTCATAGAAAAAATGTCCTAGAAAAAAGTGAGTGATGTGAAGAATCATACATAATTATACGTTTTTCATTCCTTTCAAATGATTAATTACATATCTTTTTCCAATTTTTATTCACGGGATTTTTTTCGCACATCCGTTTGGATTGTTTCAAAACCTCACTGTGTAGATGGATGATACGATGAATTAAGAGAATTATATTTCTTATTCATAACACGTAACCGATTATAGTAATCTGATTAGCAGATACATTCTGCGAACAGGCTCATAAATAATTTTCTGAATGATAGCATAAAAGTTGCTAACCAGTTAGTTGTCAATGTCAATTGTCAATCCTATAAATTCACATTATATTTTAGCCAATTTCTATTACTCTGCTTAATTGGTTTTTAGTTTTCTTATTATTTATCCTCTGTCGGGATTTAGTCAGTATGTATTAGATTGTATCTTACAATTTTTCATTTTTTCGTTCGCGTAATTTTTTTTACTGCAGTCGTTCACTTGTTTATTTTCCTTCGTGTTATTTTTGATGTAAGGAGTGAAAAGTAAGATCAGTGCACATTTCCACCAGTTTTTTTGTTCATCCAATACTAATAAGGAAATATGAAATTCGTACATTTGAAGCACATGTTTTGTAAGTTTCTAAGAGTTGTTACTACTAAGCTGTGACTATTCTTACAACTTCTGATCTATTACTTAAATATCACAGTCATCATTTTACATTATTAATCGCCACACCTACCGATAGATCCTAAACGGATAGTTCTGTAGGATATGTCGAAAAATGTATGAATGCTTATATATTTAACCTTGCATCGTCATCGGCTGGAGCGTATAATAAAACTTTTGTTTTCTTTTCTCAATGGTCCAAGGTTCGGTCAAGTCACTAAGGGTCTTAGTACAAGCTGGTTGGTATATATCTGTTGTTCTGACTCATCGTGTCAGCCCTCACGTTCACCGTTTTGTCGATTCACGTAACCAATATCTTTCATAATAAAGTCAAACAGATAGTATAAATGGATGGATCGATAATGATCTCAATCACAAATATTTTGGTATTCATTTCATTATTTTGCAGGAGACACTAGAAATGTAGGCTTCACATTGTTTACGTATAGCTCAAAAGTCTTAAAAGTAAACATCAAACAAAGGTATTTTTATCATCTTTAGACTGAACTTCATACACCTTCAATTTTCTTTTTTTTAAATTTCCAGTGCTTATTATTACTATTGTTTTATTTTCTTGATGACTTGGTTAGGATACCAGAATAATGGACACATTGAATCTTATTTTTTATTTATTTTATTTTAACACATAGATATTGGTACAAGAAGGCACCAAATACATATGCGCCACACAAATCTCATTCGATATGTGTGAGGGCTGTGATACTGCCCGGGTGCCCAAACCGAAGCAGGTGGTTTTCTTAGGGGGCCATTCCCCGAGCCTTCGACCTGAAGGTCTGATCCACAAGGCAGTGGAGCATCGTAAGGAGATGTAGTCCCATGGAAGCCGGTGACCAACAATTGGCTCATACGCCTTTTGTTCCCGCAGGATACTGGAGCCCATGTGCACCATTGGTTTGGAATCCGGTTAAAGCGCCGGACATTCACTTTTCGTCCTCTCATTTTTGTAAACAACACCCCCGCCACGAGAAGGCAGTGAGTAGGACTTCCCTGGCAGAGGCTATATACGCGTGGCCATGTGAGAGCATTTCGAGAGGGAGAGCGGACTCTCCCCACTCTCGGCCGTACCAGGGCATCTAGTTCTTTATGAATCCTATTTATTGATCTCACTAAAATCACTTGAACAACATGATGAATGAACTAGTAGTTTCACATTTGCTAATTACAATTTTAACTTGCTTAATGTTTCAGACTGAGTTTATCTTGAATCTCGGTTTTCAAAATGATTGACGTTTCCATGTCATACCTGAAACATTAATCGGTTTTATTTCATAGGTTCACTGCCTTGGTCATCGTATCACTTAATTTTGTAATGTTTCTTGAAATAAACTCACTATAAAAAGTTATTATCACTGTCAATTTAATTCATTGTTTAAACATAATTTATTGTTACTGGTAATGGAGTTGTTTTGGGTAAATTTAATCATTAACATAGTTACAAAACAAGTATACATGTTGATCCTTTTTAAATTATGTATCTGTAAAAATATCGCTCTGAAATTTGGTAATTATAAGATATTTATGTATCTAAAATCTCATTTAGATGCGTTCACAAGTGAGTGTTTTAATATTTTATTATTTATCACGGTGATTTATGATCATTACGCTCATTTATTTTCTATTCGCTGGTGTGTAAATTCATATACCTCTGATTTTAATACATTTATTTGGTTATTCTTCCTAACTATGAATTTCATTTCACACATTAATAAGACTTATCATATTCATTAGGCTGGCTTAGTTGTTTAACGAATTATAAATGTAGTTTAGAAATACTTGCTCAAGTTGTCATTGGTTTTTCGAGCATTTGGTTAATTTCATAATATCTTTCATTGTAAGTTAACATTATTTTACAAGTATTGCTTCAGAACTGGTTTGCATCACTCCTAGAAATAAAGTAGTCGGGCTCCATTTACCTTCATAGTCTCATCAGTTCTCGTGGGTTAGTAGTAGTTGAGGACGTTTAGACACATAATCGAAAGATTCCGTCGGGTTTCACGAGCTTGCACCATTTGTGGTGCATGCGATACATTTATCTACTTATCAAAAAGTGAATACTCAGGGTTCTATTTTACTTTGTGACGGTGAAACGTGATTTTTAAAGGGAGAGAAACTGTAGGTCATCAGCAGCATATGATCGTATATGTGTCCAAAGCGTTGTTCGTGTGTGATGGACCAATCAAGTGAGTGATATCGGGGTTAAAGTGAGACACTAGGTAAAAGTCCCAAATCGATCGTTAATGCTGTTAATGTCCATCGACCAAAGTGGTCACGTATGTGTATGCGCTACCACCTTTTGCCTTGGCACTGAATGGTGAGTGGTCTGGAATCTTGGGATGGTCTAACCAGTAATAACATGAGTTCATGAGGTTACTGAACCTTGATCTAAGCCGTAGTTTGAAGACACATCTAATGATCCAGGCCCACTCCATAATCGTGATCTATTGTCCGAGACTTTATGTTACAGCTGAAAATTCGAAACGGTTTATCTTTTCCTTGATTGTTAATTCTAGTGTTATTTCATAATTCTATTCTGCGGAGTCGTTTCGTTTATGTTTATTCTTTCTTACTACCATTACTTCGGCTCCTTAGGTATACATCTTGTTAGTTCATGATCACTGTAGGATATGGCAGATTAGACCGATAAAATTTTTTTAAAAGATGATCTTTAATTATGATGATAATTTGAATCATTTGATTGTTAGTCGAAGCAAGAAAAGTAGTTTCCATAAATATCTAGGTAGCTGCATAAGTGCTGGTGAGGGTTTGAGTGATGAAATCAATGCATGTATAGTGAAAGCCAAAGCGGCTTATGCCAATCTGGGCCACCTTTGGCGCCTTCGTGATGTTAGTCTGGCTGTAAAAGGTCGGATCTACAAAGCTTTGGTGAGAGCAGTTCTGCTCTGTGCTTGTGAAACCTGGCCTCTCCGAGTTGAGGACGTTAGACGACTCTCTGTGTTCGACCATCGTTGTCTCCGAAGGATTGTTGACATCCAATGGCAACACCATGTTAGTAATGCAGAGGTTCGGCATCGTGTGTTCGAGCACAGAGATGATAATGCAATTGGTGTCACCATCTTGAAACACCGACTTCGGTGGCTTGGACATGTTCTACGAGTGTCGTCACAAAGAATTCCACGTCGTGCATTATTTGCCGACGCTGGGACTGGTTGGAAAAAGCGGAGAGGTGGTCAGTATATGACATGATGTCGTGGTATGAAAGAAAGCTTCAAAGGACTGGCTTGTGTTGGTCCTTCACGATTCCCTGGTTGGGGTCTGAGAGATGGTGCTACACAGTGGCTAGAGACGTTATCAGATATGGCTCAGAATAGAAGCCAGTGGCGATCGTGCTGTAACCTTCTTTTACTTTCTTCGTAAAAAGTGGTTGTATCTTCGTTAACTGAAAGATTTCTTCCGATTGTACCTTTCCGTTCCCTCATTATTACTATCATTATTATTACACTACCTTACACCAATCTCTTCGTCATCGTTCTCTTTTTTTTACGCTCCTTGCATTTTTTCTTTTTCCTTCTCTTTAAATTCTCATTGTTTTGTGTGGCGCATATATATTTGGTGCCCTCTTGTATCAATATTTATGTGTTCAAATAAATAAATAAATAAAAATTGTTGTGAATGATTGCTCTCGTTTGTACTCGATCAGCCAAAAGCAAGCTGTTAACATTTCTAACCAAACATTTGCTTAGCCACACTGGGAGGTGCTCATGAACCTGAAAATACTAATTCCTAGAACACCTGCCACACCTACTCCACGTAAGCAGTTGAAATGATATATACAGAAAGTGGTGGCTAGTCTATGGAATTTATCTTTCAATCTCAAAGTGACCATCGGGTGTGCAGAAAACAACAATTGTGTGTCTGTTTAATGCATATCTAGTGGTTTACATAGGACAGTTGTCTATCCATATTTGAATTACCATGAGAGAGGATATTTAAATGAGGGGTTTATATGTTTCGAATCTGTGTAGTCCAAATCATCCAGTTGGTTCCAAGCTGTCGATTGTATTCCGCGCTTCCCATTAGATGTGGAGGTCTTCGTAATCCAGTCAACCACCAGAAAAAAGAGAAAGTCGAGAGAGCGAGTGAGAGAAATCAGCCTTGTTTGACTCTGGTCCTCGCTTGGAATTTGTCTGTCAGCTGTCCTCTATACACGGAATTGAAGTGTAATCCGTCGTATGAATTCCGTATGATATTGACGATTTTTTCAGCTACTCACTTTATAGTGTCGAGAAAGTTTTCATAAACTCCTCATATCTACACTGTCTAATGCTTCCTCATAGTCAATAAAGTTGATGCATAGTGACGAGTTCCATTTGATTGATTGTTCAACGTTGAACCGTAATTTCACAGTTTGGTCTGTGCACGATCGGTTCTTACCGAATGCGGTCTGTTGAACTTGAATTTGAGCATCTACTGAGTCCTTCCTCCGGTTGAGCAACACTGTTGAAAAATTTTCCTGGTACTGACAGTGGTGTTATGCCTCTGTAGTTGTCACATTTGCTCAGATCTTCATTCCTTGGTATGTTGATGAGTTGTCCTTCTTTCCAGTCTATCTGTGGCACTTGTTCTTCCTCTCAAATCTTCCTGAATATTACGTGGAGAATTTTTTCAGTTGCTTCTGTGTGTGACTTCAGTGCTTCGACTGGTATGATGTCAGGTATTCCTGCTCTCTCACTTTTGATTTGTCTGATGGTCACAGTTGATGTGTTTGATTGTTGGTGGAGTGACATGTATATGGAAGTTTGTGTGTGGTGCTTTGTTTTGAAGGATGTTTTGATTATCCTGAGTTGATGAGATACTCATTCTATGAGTGTTTCACGTGCTTCTTCGTGACTGGAGTACAACAGCATCTCTCCCGAATCTAAATTTTTCTGTGCAGCTTGAATCCAATGGGCTTCGCTGATTTAGAGAACCGCCAAGTTTTATCCTAATTTCGTAACAAGTTGGTTGATCTTCTTGGTCTCCCATATTGTCTGGATATTTCATGCACCTATATCAATTGTTGCCTTGGTTTTTAGAAGGGGCATCAACCCCGTGACTTCCTAAGAATCTTGGCTTTCACCATGAGGCGTCACAACTTTCTGAATGAATATCTTTCAACTCGGAGGACATAGTCTAAATGGTTTGGTTTGTTCTGGTTAGTTTACTTTTAACAAGGTTGTTCTCTGCCGGATGAGGTTGCTGACCCCATACCCAACCCTTTTTCTTTATCCTTGCTTGGGACCGACAGGAACCCTAAAAGAAATACAGGCGGAGTTACTAACTTTTATACTTCGTATTAATTGTTTGAGTTTAAATTCATCGAAATTTTTTAAATTACTTGTTTATGCCAATATATTCCTTATGATTGCATCATTACAATGTATTGTACTATTGTTTCCTCTTTTTTTCATAATCCACATTTGGACTCGAACTATAATTTGTAAAATAACAATAGCCAATGCTCACCCGGATCAAGCATTTGAGGAGTGTAGAATTCAGTATGAAGACTCATTGGCAGCCAGTACAGCAGCTATGTCGAACTTTTTGGATACTGAAGTGATTACTTTATATTATTTTGCATTGTTTATTTTTGTATATATATGTGCGCGTATATATGTGTGTATCTATCCTGTGTGTATATGTTCATCTTTTCAATGATAGATAGTCTTGTTACCATAGAACAGAATTAAAAAATAACTGACAATAAAAATTGACATGATCAGAATAATTAAGCAGTTGATCGATACATGTGTATATCTTAACTAGCAATCAATATCTAATATTTTTGCGCTGATCGATCATGTTCGGAGTGTAGCAGCTAGCGTATTGGTTTCAACTGTGTGATAGAATTTATTAATATTGAACACTTTGGAGAGGTTGTTGTGAACAGAACACGGGTGGGGACAATCGAATGTATTTGATACAAAATTACAGGACTTATTAATAAAATCTAACAATCAGATGGTAAATACGTAATTTGCAAAATGTCCATCGATTGTCTCATAGTGACTCAGACTTCACTGTTCTTGCATTTTCATACAAATTGCATTCTGTTCCCATTCTTTACTGTTCGATCCACTTGTCTCTCTGCTGCCAGACATTCTGTTTCTGACTTAACATTATATACTCCTTATGTCGATATAAGTAGCACATACAACAAGATTAGTAAGAATCCGTGTTACTGGTTTTTGCCTCCATCATCGAGCTTGGCGAATTCGGGATATACATGTACTTTTGTTGTCTGTACTAATAATAGTTTTCTTTGGATCCCATCTCAAGGTTTGCTGAAGTATCCTTCGTACATCACCTTATTAAAATTCAATCAATTAAAGCTGATAGCATTGTCGTAAAGCTATTAAAATTTGATTATAGATTGATTGGCTTATATGGAATTTAGCTGTATTTTTTGCAAAATAAATTAATATATTCAAAGACAATATATGTCAAGCAACGGGCAAGTGTTTGTCTGATAAAATGGTAGTTATTCTTTAAAAAGTATTTCAGTGTTTTTTTAATCAGTCAGTCAGTCAGCTACAACGTAGGACCAGGCACATATATGCATCGGTCCAAGTTTCCATACCTCACTGGATTCATAGAAGTAGTTAATTCAATGGTGGTAATGTATAAAAGAAAGGTTACATATAAGGGCATAGTACAGGAAGAAAAACTCAGTCCGTAGAAATAAATATATGAAGCGATTTCAATCTCATAGTATTTTTTAATCAGTCGCAACATGCAACCTGGTATGTATGTACATCGTCAGACGCCAGGCCATCAGGACCGATGAAGCTCCTAAGATAAGTGAGGCAGTTGATATGTCCAACTGTTTCACTCCCTATCATTAATTCAAGTGATTACGCAAGCCAATCCTGAATTAACATTTTACATTTGGATGGAGAAAACCACATCCCAAATATGGTTGCGTTGTTGCTTAAGGTGGTCAAAAGACAGCATTTTGTTAGCGTCTTTACCAGAAAGAATTATACGATCTGAGTATTCTAAGTCAACAAGTAAATCTTCTGGTAGAAGGAGGAATTCTGAAATTGTTATTTCTAGAAGCAAATAAATAAAAATGAAGAGAGCGGACAACCGTAGTGAGCACCACTGAAAGTAACCAATCCCAATGACAGTTTAGTATAAGCTCTGACCCGAAAGATAGTGTTGGAGTAAAAAGCCTGCACGAGGTTACTGTACTTTTTTGGGACACCTTTCAATGACCTACATTGCCCCAGAACTTCACGATCAATGGAGTCGGATGCTTTATTAAGTTCAAGGAATACAACAACAGTTGGAAGTCGAAAATTATGTCTCTGTTCCAGAAACCCACTGATTTTCCCTAACCTTTAGGTTTAAATCACTAGTAGATATCACTGCTGTTTCCATAGCTTTCTAGATGTCATGTAAAGCCACCTCGGGGTGGTTATCATATTCACGGTTGACTAGCTCTATCTCTCGTTCCCGAAATATATTCTTAGCGTTTTCATCATTAAGTTGGACTCTAAGGGGTTTTCTTTCTGTGGCTCTTTTACGTCCAGTGAGACTCAGGAAAATATGTGCTCGAACTAGAACATGTTGTGAGCCTATGTTTAGAGAAAAGAGAAACATCGTCTGACGTGACGAATCCCACAATCGACCGAAATAAACCACATCGCCATCAACCATCGTTAGAGAAACTCGTCAGAACTGTCGCTCATTGTAGAACCTATGTTTAGGCTCACATCGTGCTCTAGTTCGAGCACATATTTCCATGAGTTTCACTGAACTGAAATGATGGTAAATCAGTTGATGGGACTGTAAATCATCATCCGAGCTGCGAATCGATGGAAGCGTAGGCAATGACAACGAAAAGGCATCTGCATGTGTATATTTTCCCGATTTCTTACCATTCTGTTTCGTATGACAGCGCACAAACGACTGCCTATTAGAACACAATCTAACAGAACTTGTCCTGCTTTTGTATTTAATTCAAAACCTATACCAGCGAAGCCATGGGGAGTAGCAGCTGGGATCCAGGATACTCGAAGGGTAAATCGTGTCGGTTCCTTATACTGAGAAGGCGATGTCAAACGGATGACTATATGTGAATCCTGTATGTGCGTTTCGAAGACGCAAAATACATGGATGGCGCAAGATTCTGGAGTCAGTTAAAGAAGCCTGTTTCCTTATTAAAAGCTACAACATGTAGTTTAGACAGTGGTTTCAGGAGACTAGGAATAACATTTCGTGAACTCAAATCACTGGTGTTGGTGATGTGTGGTGATAAAGATATACGAGAGGGGTTAGTGGTGCGGATAGAGGAATTATCAAGAGGTGAGGGAGGAATTCGATCGTCAGCAAGATGATCTCGGGTGCTGATAGAGGTATGAGCGGGTTTTTACTTTCCTGTTTACCACACCGTGGAAGGATATTTCTTCTTGAGGGACCTGAAAAAACTGAATTGGTGGTGATTTTAGCGACCAAGGGGTATGAACATAGGGCCCAAGGGACAATTGCTTGAGGCCGATCATGTGCGCCCTTTTTATGAGAAGTTCTTGATGTGTTACCTTCGCACTTTGAAAGACCTTAACGTCAGAGATGGAAATCTATGGGGTAAGGTGAGGTGTGATATTTTTACGGTTGAACCCTTCCTTCCGTTCTGAGGAGGCAGGACCACTGCAGATGCTGGTTGTCCGAGGGAAATACCTTACTGCTGTCCCACCACTCTACAGTCAACAGTATGACTTCTCCAACCGACCTGCTTGGCATGAAAGGACCTAAAGAAACATGTATTTCAGCGAATATAGCCCGGTTGAGTCATCACGATAGACAAACCTGGTCATCAAGTTAAGGTGGAAGCTACGATCAGGTCAATGACCCTTTAAATAACGATTAGTTCATATTAATAATTCGAATTGTAATTTTCAAATACTATTTTTGCCGTTAAATTGGTTTACTTAAACCATTCGTTTGCGGAGGCTTATACATTTGGCTTAGTGATGTATTAGACCTAGAAAAACAACATTGCAACTCAACAACTGTTCTATCAAAAATATTTTCATTGCTGTAATATAGTGACTGCATTGTATTTATCTATTATCGATTCTCTGGTAGATTAACCTGAATTGTCATTTTTTAAAATTATTTAACTGTTAATTATAAAACGTGATTAGCAGCCATATGTTTAGTGATGTGATCACATATTCATTCATAAAATTGTAGTTGTTTTATGGATGAAATAGTTTTTACTCTAAGGTTCCCTTGTGTCACAATTAATGAATACTTAGTTAATCTTGAGGATATAAGTATTTAGATGTTTTGTTGGGTGGCATAAAAAGTTAAAGACCTTAGAAGGATACTTCTTGAGAGATCTGGAAAGAAACTGGGTTAGTAGTGATCTTGACTACCTAGAAGCGTGACCTCAGAGCCCAAGGGACAACTGCTCGGGACCGATCAAACGTGGTCATTCTCCTAGTCGTTAGCTGTGCACTTTAAATGCTTTGCTGTTAGCGACGGAAATCTATGGCTTAAGATGAGGTGTGGTATTTTTAGAGCTGAACATTTCTACCTCTTTCTTGGTTGGAAGAAGGCAGTGTCACTGTGGATGTCAATTATCTAAAGTAAACATCGTAATAATTTCACACCTTAGTGCCGTCAGTAGAACATCTTCGTTTTGGGACTTTGAGTTTCTACTTTTAGTCTTACCGTTCTTCAACCAACCTGATTAGCATGGTAGGGCCAAAAAGGTATGGTAACTTGGACCAATGTATATGTGTGCCTGGCTCTACGTTGTAGCTGACTGACTGAGAGTTTAAAGAAACAAGTGTTTCAGCCAGTATAGCTTGAATGATTCATCAAGATAGGAAAGTTCGATCACCACAATAAGATAGCAGCTACGATTGGAATTATCAGTAACCATTATTTATGAATTGTAATTTCATAACCTAGTATATAAATTTGTTTGTGATTACTTGAAGTTATCAAATATCACTAAGTTTTTTTTTCAATATGGAGCAATTTTACATCGATCTATTCAACAAGTTTGTCCAGTGATAGACTTTTATCCGTTGTATTTAACCAAGTTCTGACTTTTTTTTTACTATCTACTTAACATGCTCACATTTTGTTCATGCACGAATTCGTTACAAACATCAAGGTTGAACAAATCAAAACTTTGTCTAATTTCGTTAATGCTCAATTAAGCTTCTATCAGGATGCTGCTCGAATTTTATCCGATCTACATGGAGAACTTGAAATGAGGTTAGTTTATTTTAGTATACTACTGAATGTTTTGGTGGCCCGAGATCCATTTTTGATCGTACTACGAAGGAGTCATGAACATAAATCTTCTAATTAATTCCGTACATTCTACTTAGGCTACTCTGTTTGAGTGATGGCGGTAATTAAAAACCATGGATTAATTTCTTTCATGCGCTTGTTTACTCAAACAGACTTCAAGATGAGGAGCGAAGCGGAGAAGGTAAGCGTGCCAACCTCAGCTGACAGAGCGTGACTCACTATTTATACCCAAACAGAAAAATAAATACATGTGAATAATAGACTATATGATAGGCATACATATAGGCTCAAATAAACACAGTCAAGCTTAAAAGCGATTAGTTGATATTTTTAATGTATGTACGGCTAATGAACTACGGAGAATAAATCAGTTGTTTTGTTCAAAATCCAGAGTAACCCATTTAGGCGCGACAGCATTAGACGCATTAATTAATGACCAATGTCATGTTTACCTGAGTCCTTTTGTTATCATATATCATGCCACCTTGATATGATCTGCGGTGTTTATTTATACACTTGTATTGTAACATTAAAATGAAGTCCTTGATAATTTCAGCATTAATAACAACCATGTATGTCTGTCAAGTGTATCGGTCGCAACATATTTACGTGACTGAAAATAAACTAAGTATCTCTCATTTATATAACTACAGGTCTACTATAACTTCTCAAGTGAAAGGAAATGGAAAAAAATCACATTATAATACGTATAAAATGTGTTGTAACATTTGTATTTATAAATAATTCAACACAAATTATCGTGTTGATTGATTGTCTACCATGTTGGCGTTTGGGGATTCTAACTCATATATCAATATCATACTGAAGCATCGGTTTTTACCAAATTCAACATGTTTTATGTGTTACATTCCAACAACATCTATAACTTGTAGTTTGTTGATACTAGAAGGGTGCGAAAATAGTCGAAAGCGGGAAGAATACTCAACGTTGATGTTTAAATCAAAATCACATTGTTCTTAATCATGCATTCATAGCAAGATGTATTTTGAATGGGATGAAGCATATTTTGACCGTGTTTTTATTTAGACGATGTTCTTTACTATCATATTCTTGCGTTATTTTTCTTAGTTCATTTCTCCGTAAAACTGGAAATTAACGATATGTGGTGTATTTCATGGTGTGTCTAAATACATAAGTCCTAGGTCTTGACACTTTTAGCACCACCTGTTAGAAGTACCATTCAACCACGTAGTTATAAGTACTTGAGGTTTGACTATAATCTTAGACTTTATTTAATCCTGAACATTGTAGTAAATACCCTTGTCATCCATCTAATTTAGATTAGTTATCAAGGTCCAAACAGACTCACTTGTTTTAGATCAATAACTAGTAACATTATAAATTGATATTATATCTTCAGTGTTCTTGAAGCCTACCCCTGATCTATCGTTTCTACACATAATTGCTTGTTTGATGTGTGTAAACCATTATAGCAACGACAGTCGTTCATGATCACAAAATCACCAGTTTGTTTATCACTATTGTAAATTATTACATGCTTAAAATATCTCAATAAATATGTATCATCAAATTCTGATTACTTTAATAGGAAATATATTTTAGTTAGAAATATAGTGACGAAAGAACTTGTTCAATTAAGGGAATTCCTCTCACTTTTATAAAGAGCAATAATGCACGACGTGGAAACCGCTAGAATAACCGAACTACCGAAGCGAATATTTCAAGATCGTAACACTAATTGCTCCATGACATGAACACGCTTTGAGATGTCAACGTTCCTAAAATGGCGTTGTCACCTTCGGAGACAATCAGGACCGAACTCAGAGAGTCCCCTGACATCCTTACCATGCAAGATCATATAACCGAGTCTCTCTAACCGGCGGGTTTTAGATGTAACCTCTTACAGACAGGCGTCGCAGATGGTTCATATTGGTATAAGCTGTTCTGGTGTTCACCTTATCTACGTAAATCTTCCCACCACACCCAACACCAATACTTACACAACTATTCAGATACATGAATTATTCAACTATCTCCAATGCGTCACTGCATATATATATATATATATATATATATATATATATATATATATATATATATATATTGATTATTTGTGCTCATTAGTATTGTATGCATCCTGCTTATCATACTTTCTTTGTTTTTCAGATTGCTGGATGCGTAAGTTTGTGTACTGCATTTCTGTCAGAATGATTTTTTGTTTAAAAATATGGAAAAAAATGAACTAATTTGTTCATTAAAATCAATTTTTATTGTTACTGTGGTTGATAAACTCGGATTTATTTTTGATATGGGAAAAAATGATCAACTGAAAACATACATTTTAATTGTATTTTTTAAATAAAGTTTTTGGCTCAGTGGAACAGGGATTGAACTTTAGAAACTCATTGAATATCTTGAATGTAATCGGATCCCCACACGACTGTAAAATTTCAAACAATCTCATATTGTGAATTACAACAATATGGGAGTTATTCAAATTTATTTTATTATCCTACTGTATTCGTTCTAATTAAAATTTATTGGCAAGAATATAAAACTTAAACCGCCTAGAGCACAAATAAACTCGGTTGAAAAGAAAACACTTCACATGAATATCGATTTTAAGGGTGATGGAGTTACAGACGTCCTGAAGAGGAGAATTTATGATTCTCTAAAAGAACGTTCTCCACAGCAACTTCACGAATACTGTTCTTCAGCCGATCAATGATCATAAGGATATATTATCTCATCTGACCAACTCTATGTCCATTTATCAATCTACTTGCATTTGCTAAATGGCCGGAAGTATATACCATGCCGAACTGTATAACATCAGAAACAATCCAAAAGTTGTCTACCCTGTTTAGCTGTTTCGGAGTACCAGAGACCTTAGTAACGGATAACGGCTCGCAATTCGCCGCAGAATCGTTTAAGCATTTCTGTAGAGCAAACGGAATAACTCATCTTCGTTCTCCACCCTATCATCCGCAATCAAACGGACAAGCAGAACGCTTTGTGGACACCTTTAAATGAGCATTACTGAAAGGAGGAGGCGGAGGGACGACTGGGCAGGTAATCACAAAATTTTTAACATCCTACAGATCCACCCCGAGCCCGAATGTTCCAGACGGCAAGTCTCCTGCGGAAGCCATGTTCGAAAGGCGTATTCGAACCGTCTTCAGCGCCATGTTCCCATCCAAATTAGTGAATGGGCGCAGTCACAACCCATGTATCCGGAACTTTAATGTTGGCGACAAAGTTTTCATTAAATCCTACATCGCCTTGGCTAAAAATGAGGTGGAGACGGCTTAGTAATTAACCACCTTGTGAACAACGGTTTTTCAATCAAAACGGGCTCCGGGTTCAAATTCATCTACAAAGTAATTAGAAAACTGCCGGAAGCAGTGATATTGTATCTTCTCAACACTGCAGAAGCAATTACTATACATCTGGTAAAACGAGAATTATATATTTAAGAGAATTTGGTACAACCCCTTCTTTTACCATGGTCTTAACACCTCATAATTTGCTTTCTTCATGCATTTCTTCCGTCGCCATCATTTTCTCTTTCTATCTTCTCCACAGACGTTTTACCCGAAACTGATTTATTTCTGTTTCTGAGATCCTTCTGATTACAGTCCATCTCAGTTTCAACATTTTATCTTATCACGCTAAGCCTTCTCTTCCCAATTATAATTTCCTTATCCTTCTTTATGATGATGTATATTCAAGCTCGCAACAACAAAATTATCATTAAACTCACTAGGTATTGTTTGTTTGAATCTTCCCATTGATGTTTAGGACTGCAATTGATCAACCTCTTATTGGCATATGTGCATATTGCCTCGATATAGCCTTAATTTGGGACTCAGTAGCTAAATGGATAACGCGGTGGCGTTTAGAGCGAACGGTACTGAGCTCGAGCCCCGGAGTGAATGTCAACTCTGAGGTGCAGGTACATCCTTTCTTAAATGAGAAAGGAACGTATTAGTTTAGTTTATATAATGTTACCACCAGTCAGTATAATGCAATTTTCTTCGTACTTATATTTGTATGTATGTCAATCTGTATGGAAAGTTCAATTTCATTTGCTAATACACGAATCGACGTTTTGGTATAGCTTTTAGTTGTTTTCTCTTTTTGTCTGTTTGAGTTACATACTTTATGTGTTTAAAATCGAATACTCTATCGATTTAGCTAAGTAATTTTTGAGGTGTGCTAGTTAAATGCCCGTGAGCAGTGGTGGGCAACGAAAGCAAAAGAGATCGAAAGGGCAACGGCTGTAGGTAACGTCAGACAGCTTTTCAGACTAATAAAAGAAACTGGGATTAAGAGATTGTGTAATTGAGACTATCTCGGAAAAAGACGACACTTATCTACTCAGACGTTTAGAACGATGGGCAGAACACTTTAAGAAGCAGTTCAGCTGGCCTTCAGATACTCTACAACTACCCACCATTCCCAGATAGTGTGAAAGGAACATTGAAGTAGGTCCCCAGACTCTAGATGAACTTCAAAACACTATGGCTAATCTAAAACGAGGAAGAGCAGCTTGTCCAAACGGATTGGCTCTAGATGTCTCTAAGTATGGTGGTCTAGCTTTGGCGATTAGGTTAGCTGAAATCTGGGAGTTGAACGTAATCGCATCCGACTGGTCTCAATCACTGATTATCCCAATATATAAGAAGGGGCCAAAATCATCCTATGACAACCATAGAGGTATTAGTTTGGCTAACATAGCACCTAAAACACTATCCTCAATACTCGTGAACTTCAAACACGAGAAAATCAGGCTGGCTTCAGACCTGGTTATGGCTGCATCGACCACATATTCATCATTCGTCAGGTTCTAGAACACAAGCATGCTTATTAGCGTCCGACAATGGTAGTCTTTCTTGACTTAAAAGCAGCATTGAAAGGCGTATCTCAAGAGTTCAAAAACCTTGTGACGGCTCTTTACTCGAACACTACTAGTCTAATGAGAGCTTATGTCGAACTGTCATCTGTTTTGTAACCTTAAGTGCTGTCCACTATCTCCAATTTTGTCCAACTTCATCATAGACATACTTATGGAAACAACATTCCCGTCGACTGAATTTTTGGGCATTGATCTCCTTCCAGGAGGTCGACTTAGAGTACGCTGATGACATAGTCCTGTTTGGTGAAGACGCAGATAAAATGCAGAGTGTTTTGGTAGCACCGCGCAACAATGCCAGAATTTTTGGGATGCATTTTTCCCTCTCTAAATGCAAGTTGTTGCTTCAGGACTGACCTGCGTCAACACCTGAACTAAGGATAGAGAGTGAAGTAGTCGAACGCTCCGACAACTTCACTTATCTCAGAAGTCTGGTCAGCCCTAATAGGTTGGTATCTGACGAAATTTCGGCACGGATTCAATAAGCCCGTTTGGCTTTTGCCAACTAACGTCACCACATATGACGAAGGCGAGGTATCCGTCTATCAATTGAGGGACGAGTATACTGCTTGTCAGTTTGTTCTGTTCTACTTTACAACTGCGAAACGTGACCATGAAGAGTAGAAGATACTCGTAAGTTACTAGTATTTGATTACAGATGCCTTGGAAACATTGCTCGTATCTGATGGGATCACCGGGTAAGTAATAATGAGGTTAGACACAAACTATTAGGGAATGATGGTAAATCAGTTGATGAGATTGTAAATCTTCATCGAGTGAGATGGTTTGGCCACCTGTCACGTATGCCTGAACACCGTTTACCACGACGCACAATACTGACTAGTATTGGAGACGGCTGGAAGAAAGTTAGGGGTGACCAAACCAAAAGGTGGCATCAGTCATTGAAGTAACTTACTTTTGGTCTGAGCCATGTTAGAAGATGCGGACTACTTGCTAGTGGTCTGCGTGACTATCGTAACCAATGGTTGGAGACTGTGGGTGACATGGCTCATAATCGATCATGATGGCGTCGGTGTACATACTCTCTGTCTTTCCTTAAACCATGAGATTAAAATTACTTTATACCTTTTTTTCTACGAACCGGTTCTCTGTTCCTGTATTATATCCTTATACACAATCTTTCTTTTATATATTACTATCATTGAAGTAAGTACTTGTATGAATTTGGTGTTGATGTTGTGCTAAATGGGGTATGGTAACGTGGTCAGATGCATGTATTTACCTGATCCTACGTTATAGCTCACTGGCTGACTGATATCTTCTGTGTCCTATTCAGGTTACCGAACGGTTGTATATGACGTGGTGGTTGTACCTACTTTGTCTCATTCTAATCACCCTATTGAACTTCATTAAACATTGTATGTCACAACACTCTTCCCAAATCAGAATATATATATATATATATATATATATATATATATATATATATATATATATATATATATATATATAATTTCGATTTATCAACTCGCGCTGATTGTTTAAAAATGAACCACTCCTCATATTAAGATCTAATCTTAGCCAAAAAGTGGATTTGTCAGGATTCTATCGTACTAGCACCATTGTGATTGGTATTGAACAGCCTAGTGTCCTCGATCTGTTCATTTATTTTTTTTTCATGTTATTTGTTTTTTACCATCTGTCCTCTTATTGTTGTTTTTCGAAATTTATTCACTCTCGGACCAATAGTAAACAATTAGACATAAATAATATAGTATTTGGCAATAACACATATTAGTTCAAGTTGCTATACTTTAATACATTATCAGGACAATCAGACGATATTTCAGTAAAATCTACTGACCAATAATTGGTTATGGTTTTTGTTTTGTTGTTTTTAAACGCTTAGTAAAACTATAAATGTTCCACTCATCACACAATTGTTTATTCTGATTTATGCAACAGTATAAAAATTAATGCACACATACTCTCCCTCTTATACCATTGAAAATCATTAATTTGATCATTCTAAATTCTTTGTTTATGATTCATTGTGAAAAAATTTCTTTCACTTATAAAATAGGAAAGTCTATCATTTTACACTTGATCATATTATTTACACACTTCATAAATTCTATTTCCAATATCTAATTCGTTATACTAAATTATTAGTTAGATTAGTGAATAAAACATTTTACTGGAAACGTTCGTCTGTATATGTGAATGATTGTTTGTTCGCTTACTTGCATTCTGTATTCTTTATGTGAAGTCATTAACTGTACTTGATTTAATACTTGAATGTATACAATTTTTTCACTATTTAATCTCTTCTACATATGTAGAAGAGATGGATGATGACTAGGCGTATAATTAAGGACGTGAGTTCCGTTCTATTCGGGGCTCGTCAGCTGGGTGTACCTGTTTATGTTCACTCTGGAACTCGGTATATATATATATATTCATTAGTTAATTTTCATTTTATTATTTAGTGTTTGCTTTTCTTATGTATTATTCTAGTCGTTACATATTTTTGTATCCTTTTACATTTAGTTACATTAATTATAAGAAAACTTCCTCCTTAATTGACTAGTAGATTACTTACATACATTGCTTTACTGGCTTATTTTTTATATCACTGTGTAAAGCTAATTTACCAGCTTATGTCAATAATTGTCGCTGTAACCTTATCCTGTATTGTCACGTGTACAAAATATGTAACAATTCTTGTTAGTAATTTTACTATTCATTACTGCTTTTCGCATATTTTATTTTATCTTGACTGGTTTTTAGTCGTTATAATAGGCTAATTAGGAGGAAATTGGCATGTAATGAAGTGATGAATCGGTCAATAAAGTTGAAAAATCCATAAATGATCTAAAACTACGCAGACTGGCAGACAAGTCCTGAATGGTTAAATTACGAGAGCTTTAAGCATGGTGATCTCTAGTTTTAGCTGTCTGATTGACTGAGGTATTAGCCAGGATCTAGGAACTGAACGGAATCACACCTAACTACTCTCGATCTCTGATCGTACCAAGCTTTAAGAAGGGATAAAAACCCTCTTTTAGTAATCAAACTGAATCAGTTTGACTTATATAGTGTTTAAAATATTAGCTTCAATAATCATCCAACACTTAACTAGGGCTCGTGAAGAGCGAACTCGGGAAAACTAGGCTGATTTCACACCTCGATTCGAATATGTAGACCAAATATTCACCTTTCGTCGGTTTATGAAACATAGACATACCTACTCCCTCTCAACCATAAATGTATTTCTCGACCTTAAGGCTGCATTCGATTCTGATGATAGTGCATACGAAAGAAGCACAGTAACCTTTCGTAAAGCCATTGTGAATTGAACTGAACCATGGTAATAGGTTTAGATCACCTGATTTGAATCCCCTTGATTATTATAACCAGTAACTAGAGACTTTGGGTAATACGGCTCAGAATCGTTCTCATTGCCACAGGTTCATTCACTTTTCATCTCCTTTTAAACCTTGAGTCCTGAAATCTTATACCTTTTTTTACTTGTACTGCACCTAATCTTTTCTAATACTGCTGATATTGTTGCTAATTTTGCCTCTTTGTGATTTGTCTTGATAACTTTATCTCGCTGTACTAATGTGGTCTGACAACTTGAAGCGATACACATATATGCCCTGTTTTACGTTGGACATGACTGGCAATAACTTTGTACAGGCTCTCTGTTCGAGAACTACTGGTGGGGTTTGAATAGACTCTGTTTTCAGACTTATGTTTTCTTTCATATGTTTAAAATCACCTTTCATTAACTTCAACAATTAATTCTGTTTTCATTTTAACATCCTTACTCTTGTTTTCACATATTCGTTTCGCTCTAGACTGAGGGATTCTTCAAGAACATGTTAAACATACCAAATATTTAACAAATTATGTAATTCAAAGTAATTTCGTCAAGTGGTGTTTAAAAATTCTGAAGTGCTTTTTCTCCACTCAGTTTTTTCACAAGTTTACTTTTAATGGTAACATTTTCTTGATGACGGTTCAGGTGATGATATTTTGTCTTCACATTCTTCTATCTATATGTGAATTATGTAGATAAATTGATCCTATTCGATGGAGATGCACCGATTTAGATCATTTGATATTTTACATATTTCATAAATGTAAATTTTCTTTGGCTGTTTCGTTCAACATAACAACCACATAATGTGTGTATTCATTGTTACTTTTTAGCTATTTTTTTCTCCAAGCACTGATTTTTAAAGCAATAATTTTTTTTATGGCCGACCCAAAATTATTGTGTATTATAAGATAAAAGATCGAAAAGATTTTCACTCATACATCTAACAGCACTCAGGACCTACTAACTATGCAAATTTAATTTTAATCCAATATTTGGTCACCTAGATATGGTTTCTATATTTGTTTTCTTTAAACATTTGTTTAACCACATAAACATTGGTACAAATGGGCACCAAAATGTGCATGCGTCACACAAAGTAGTTATCATTAAATTTATTTGTGGGTTGAGATACTGTTTATGCGTGTAAACTGGCATAGGTGGTTTTTTCTGTGGAGCTACTCCCTGAGCCTTTGACTTAGAGATCCAATCCATAAGGCAATGGAGTAACGTTGACAGATGCAGTCCCATGGTAGTCTGTGACCAAGAATATTTAAAGCAATTATTATTATCCTTGTCTCCTCTTGCCCCCATTTCCAGTCTAGCTGACCTTTTATTTTTATATATAAATGTTCTTAACATGTATATGTGTGATCAAATTGTTCGAAATGTATTGCGCTAATATATCACATAGTTCTGATAATCTTCGTCTTCTTATTACATTATCAAGACCAAGAATATGTTCATACGCCATTGGCTCCTCTTGGATTGTGGAGCCCATGTGCACCATGATTTGGAATGAGTTTTTTCCAACTCCGGGTGGAATTTTCGTACCTACCAACCTGGTTTAAGCACCGGATATCCGCTTTTCGTCCTCTCGATCTCGTAAACACCCCCGTCCTGTGAAGGCAGTAAGTTGGACTTATGCTTGGTTATATGAGGGCATTTCGAGAAGGAGAGTGGATTACTTACCCTTGGTTGTACCAGAGCATTTGAATGGCTTTTCAATGCTATCACATAAAGTGTTTTATAAACAGTTGATTGTACTTATTTTCGACACTATTAATTATAAAACTAATTTATTTAATTATTACAATTGCTTACAATCTGTAAATTGTTTGGAATTAGATTAGCATAAAATTAATATCTATAGTGTAATGACTATGAGTAAACTACTGAGTGAATATGTCTAATTTGCTGACAGAATGATGTTGATATTTAGAGCATGTTAGTATCTTCAGCTACTCATCTTGTTCTTCAGTAGTATTGTTTTGAAGAAGAAATATAATTATAAATAGATTAAAAGGAAAATGTTTTACCTTGGAATAGAATTTTTCCAAATCGATAATTTACTATATTACAGTACTGGTGATTTTCCGGTGTCCAGCTCTTATTTATTTACCAATTCTTAAATATATAATTAGTGTACTACAGATGTGTTTCATTGTTTCGTCTTTTTTAGGTGTGATCATGCAAGACGACAAACTCCATATCCTGTTAGTTCAAATGATGCTTTACCAGATATACCGTCATTATGTCACGAGTCTACAAATTTCCAAATAAAGCCACGATACGATGGTATGTTTTTGTTTGATTACCACACTTGTTTACGTAATATTCTATATCAGGTGGTTGAAGGTAGATAATAGAAAACGCTGGACATAGGTTTTGAGCTAGTTGGCACTTGTTAGTATGGCATACCTATAATCTTAAGAAAACCCGTATCACTTAGTTTTACAGTCTGTAACATTAACACTAAACTACTCAACCTTCAACTGACCTCGTTTACGTTGAGTTTTAGGAATTAGCTATCATGTCATTGAATATACCACTGGTAAACTAGGTTACTTTCTAAATAAAATGCAAACAACTCTAAAAATGTCGCTCTCTTTTGAAGAACTCATTGTTTTCCTTAGAATGTATAATACATGATTAGTTCATTTTTAGCTAACTAGGTTATCTTAATTTTTTTCATCGTTTATCTCTTTCTTTCCTCCCCTTCCCATGTAACTTAATATAGATCATTCAAAAAGAACACCTCAATGTGTTGCTTTGTATAATTTCACTGCTGAAAGTCCTTTTGAACTATCTTTTTGTAAGGGCGAATCGATCAACTTAATTGAACAGGTATAACTTTTAAATGTTATCTTCTTATTTCATTTATGTAATTAACTAGTTTCTTTTTTTTAATAAAATGTCATTCTGTTATACCTTAATATTTATTTGTGCACTTAACACGTGTAAGTAATGATTTTCTCGTGGTGGTATTCTCGTTACTCTGAGGATTAGATTTGATGGTCCAAGCATTTGACTTCGAATCACTGGTTTCAGGTATACAACTGTTCATTTTCACTATATGAATGTTTATTCATTAAGATGATAATCTAAGAACTTGTGTTTTGTTACTGAGTTAAATGTATTTATTTGTGTAATAGTTTTCAAACGTACAACTCTTTCTTATACGTTAAGATATCTAGTCCAATTCGTGTGGTTTCTTGAATCTGTACTCTATTTGATTAACATCCTGTGTTCGTATACCAGTCTGATGTTGGCGAAATTGATTTGATATTAATGTGTAGAGCATAATATTTGTTGATGTCAGCATTTAAACAGATATCTTGCTGATTGGTGAATTTCACCAATCGGTTTCTGTGTGAACTCTGATGTGAAAAAGTTCCCTCTCCTATTTTCTTTGGAAGTTTTTCTATAGAGGTTGGAAGCTCAGTTGATTTTTTCCAGCTAAATTAGATAAGCTGACTGTAGATTCCCTGTCAGTAATTTAATCCGACAAGTAAGTTACTCATTTAAACCTCAAGGTCAAACTACGAAATCTGTCTAAAACCACAGCACTGTATATTTGTGTACAGACAGTTGACAAACACTATCTGATTATGTCAATAAAACAAACAAAATTCAAATGGTTATCATATACAAAATAATCAAAAGTCGGAGGGATCGATTCAATGTATTGCAGTGAAAGGAATAAAAGCTGCTTTTAATAAAATATTCTAGATGTAAGAATAATCATAAGTTGCGTCGTATTACGGAATACATAGTATAGTACAAAGCATAAAGTAAACATCGGAAACAATGTTTAGAAATAACATACAGATCGACCGGTAATAGTACATTTCACTTCATTTCAATAATTAATTAACTGCTAGACCTAAGTCTTGGTATCACCTTATACTCTACCGTAACTTTGTCTTCAATGTTCTTCATTATGTTTGTTCATTTCTTCTTTTTACAAAAAAAACCTAGATTGATGACAACTGGTATTTGGGTGAGCTAAATGGACAAGAAGGTCATTTCCCAACAAATTTCGTCCGTGTAACTTGTCCTTTACCATGAAATTCGTTTTTTTTCCAATGCAGTTGATCTTTTAATTCCTTCGTGATGAAGTCTTATTTCCAGTTTATGCCTCATCTCACCTTCCTCCATGCTATTACTGTTAGCATGCTCTGTTTTTTTTATAGATTTTCTCTCTACTTATGGTTCGTTAATGAGTATACACTTAAAAATACACATACAAATACACTAGATGATGTATTTATCTAGTTTCCATTAGAATTACGACAATAATTTCAAAGTTTCTACCAATAGAGTAATTATTCAACTCCTTGCTCTGTTCTTATGTCTTCCATCTAATTTAATTGTGCCTGAAACATTATCATCATTAAGTGCTGTTGTATTTTATAAATAACCGTTTATCTATTCTTTATCTCGTTAGTTATTATGTAAAATTGTTCTTCTTGTTGTTGCTGTTGTTGTTTTGGAACATTTTAATAAAGACAAACATTTTATTCTTTCTTTGTCAAAACCTTTATTTTGTTATTGATTATATTCTCTCTTTTTAGAATCGTTTATGTAATGCCCAAATGTTCATTTTGCTCATTGCTCATTTACTTTTTTAGCGAATTGTTTAGTTTCTACTAATGATGCCTTAAATATGTGTATTTAATATTTTCTTTTATTGAAGTCAGCTGGTGTTACTGATTTATTATTATTATTATTACTTATTATGACTGGTTACATAAACCACTACCAATATGTTTTGTTATTCAGTTTATAGATGTTGAATGTCTTAATGATAAGGGGAACAATATTATTGATTTCTTCAATGGCTTTGATTCTTCTAACAAATTTAGCCACTATGACATCATTATGTAGTATGTACATATATATATATGTCCGAAGACGAAGATATATCATGTGACACAATTAGTTGTTACTTTTAGATAGATAATAAAAATTGTGTATTAATGTTATGTAATACAAAAATTGTGACAACATAATACCATTTAATAGCTTATTTACTTACTCCTGTTATTCCTCGTGAAGCAGCGTAGGTAGGCTGCCCACCAACATTCTATATCTAACTCTGTCCTGGACAATCCTTTCTACTTGTTTCCAGTTGCTATTCATCTTTTTGGTGTTTGCTTCCAATTCCCGGCACAGTGCGTTCTTTGGTATTACTCTTTTCTATTTCCTTTCATAATTTCAAGTTAGCGCTTGCTTTACGATGCAGTTTTATAATTTCCTCAATGTTTAAGGCTAAAAGAATGTTTGCGATCTTATCATGGCTCCAGAGGTCGACTACTATGGAGTCACATGGATAAGTTCCTGTATCGTATGCATTACGATTTCAGAACTGCAGTGCCTTTTTCTAACCTTGAAGAGTTTTCAAATCATGTTTAAAAAGTGTCTACACTCCTTTTTTGGTTTTGTATAATATATTCTTACTCTATACCGACTTTTTTCTGATTATTTGAAATTTCTAAAGGTCACTTAAGATTCGTTCAAATGGTCGTCCATTAATTGTAGTCTCGCCTAACCGTCATATATATTTCGCTAATACAACTAAAATAACCATTACACCTATTTCAAAATGTAGTTTACTCAAAGAATTCGATTATTTTAAGTGGTTTAAGGAACAAGAACCGATGGAAATAGGTTTCGTGTTAATTGACACTTATCAACAAAGCATACCTATAAGCTTGTTAAAGATGGTGCTTTATAGGATATGAACTCATGTCAACTAACTTCACATCTAGGGCATTACCATTAAGCTATCTGGGTCGCGACTGACTTGATCATTGAATTCGATTCTCACTAGTGAACCAGAAAATCATCACAATATTGAATGATGAGTGATTTTTAGAATTTGATTATCTACCATTTTTTGTACACACTTATCATCAAAATAAGGAAAACCATTATCTTCGAAGACATTATCCAACCTTTCAGATTACTACTTCAGATCTTATTACATTCATGGTTGTTGTCTTGTATTAACTTCAGTCATCAACATTTTTATTACTCACATATTAGACCATCAATAAACTTTTCATTGGCTGTTTTTACTGATAGTGAAATCAATAAAATCTCTATGTTCTTTGATAAATTATGCAAAATGATCTCATTCTGTATGTGTATAAAACAAAGAATATAAATGAATGAGTTAATAAAAACAATTGAAAAATGAACAGAAACTCATCATTTTACATGGATACAAGTGAAGAAAAAAAAGGGAATTGAATTTATTTTCACCACACACACACACGAAAAAAAAATCTAAATAAAATGTCATTCATTTGATTATGGTAACTAAACTAAAATTAACCAAATTTAAAATGCTTGAAATATCAACTGATTTTCTTAGTTATTTATAGATATTCCAATTCTTTAGAAATTTATTTGAGTGAGCTTTTTTGAGAAACTATGGATAAAACTTACATTTCTGTTATGACATATTTCATAATTATCAGTAAGACTGTATTTTATATTACTAATAAGTTAGATTTTATTAAATATTGATTTCACAAGTTGAAATCATGAGTCAACTGAAGCTAGACCACCATGGAAAACCTGGAACCACTGGACGGACGTTTCGTTCTAGTATGGGAGTCCTCAGCAGTGCGCATCTACGATCCCGCACCCCCACGGAATTCGAACTAAGGACCTACTGATCTAGCTTCAATTGACCCACGATTTCAACTTGTGAAATTTCTAAAAATCTCCACATAACCCATTCTGATAATAATCAACTGCTCACTATTGACTGACTTCAGGAGGTACTTTTGGAGTTCTAGTGAGAAGCCGTTACCGGTGGAGTTCAACCAGGTCTGTTGTGAGATATCAGCTCACTAAAGACAATAGTGTACGGTGGCGCAACTTCGTGGATTGATTGAAGTTAGACATTAACACCGTTGGATGCCGGCCAGCTCAGTGGTCTAGCGCTTAAGTGCTCGTGCGTGAAACCAGTAAGTCCTGGGTTCGAATCCCGCGTGGTGCGGGATCGTGGATGTGCACTGCTGAGAAGTTTCATACTAGGATGAAACGGCCGTCCAGTGGTTCCAGGTTTTCCATTGTGGTCTAGCTTCAATCAACTCATGATTTCAACTTGTTAAATTTCTAAAAATCTCCACAAAACCCATTCTGAAAATATTGATTTAATTAAAACTGATTGATTTCATATTATATGGTTGGGTACAATATCGAGTGTGTTTCATATGACTTTTATAAACATAAATTCTTAATTGTCAGAAAACTTACGACTGTTAATCCTCGTGGAGGAGAGTAAACCACCCGAAAGTAGTCTCCATCCAAATCTGTCATGGACGATCCTTTATAGTTGCTATTCATCTTTTTGATGTTTGCTTCTAATTCCCGATGCAGTGGGTTCTTTAGTATCCCTCTTCTCCATTTCCTTTCGTAATTCTTGGCCAGGATTTTCATCGTGATGCAGTTTGGTGATTTCCGTAATGTATGTTCTATCCACTCCCAACATCTTTTATTAATTTCATCTTAAGCCGGAAGCTCGTTTGTCTTCTCCTATAGTAGGGTGTTGCTGATGGAATCCGGTCAACAGACATTCAGTATCTTACGTAGACAATTGTTTATAAATACTTGTACCATTTCGATAATGGTTCTCGAAGTTTCAACTCTATACAGTAGAACTGTCTTGACGTTTGTATTGGAGATTGTCACTTTGATATTGGTTGAAATTTGTTTTGAGTTCCATATGTTCTTCAATTGTATGAATGTTGTTGTTGCTTTGCCAGTCATCTGCTTGACGTCTACATCAGATCCTCCTTGTTCATCGATGATGATGGCCAGTGAGGTAGGTGGAAGTTTCCATCTATTGCAGTGTTTCTCAACCAAATGAGATTTGTTTGGTTAGTTTTCTCCGTGTCATATTTAAGGATGTTGATTTTTCGCTTGTGTATATTGAGGCCTACTAATTCACAGGCTTCCTTTACATTGTTTGTTTCGATCTGCATTTGTTCGTGTGTATGGGATAGAAGGGCTGGGAGATCTGTGAAGTCCAAATCATCCAGTTGATTCCGAGTTGTCGATTGTATTCCGTGATTCCCATTAGATGTGGAGGTCTTCGTAATCCAGTCAACCACCAGAAAAAAGAGAAAGTCGAGAGAGCGAGTGAGAGAAATCAGCCTTGTTTGACTCTGGTCCTCGCTTGGAATTTGTCTGTCAGCTGTTCTCAATACACGGAATTGAAGTGTGATCCGTCGTATGAATTCCGTATGATATTGACGATTTTTTCAGCTACTCACTTTATAGTGTCGAGAAAGTTTTCATAAACTCCTCATATCTACACTGTCTAATGCTTCCTCATAGTCAATAAAGTTGATGCATAGTGACGAGTTCCATTTGATTGATTGTTCAACGTTGAACCGTAATTTCACAGTTTGGTCTGTGCACGATCGGTTCTTACCGAATGCGGTCTGTTGAACTTGAATTTGAGCGTCTACTGAGTCCTTCCTCCGGTTGAGCAACACTGTTGAAAAATTTTCCTGGTACTGACAGTGGTGTTATGCCTCTGTAGTTGTCACATTTGCTCAGATCTTCATTCCTTGGTATGTTGATGAGTTGTCCTTCTTTCCAGTCTATCTGTGGCACTTGTTCTTCCTCTCAAATCTTCCTGAATATTACGTGGAGAATTTTTTCAGTTGCTTCTGTGTGTGACTTCAGTGCTTCGACTGGTATGATGTCAGGTATTCCTGCTCTCTCACTTTTGATTTGTCTGATGGTCACAGTTGATGTGTTTGATTGTTGGTGGAGTGACATGTATATGGAAGTCTGTGTGTGGTGCTTTGATGTTCGGTGAATTCAATGGAGCTTATCTATTCAAGAGTTCGTCGAATTTTTCCACCCATCTGGTACTCTGTTTTTGAATCTCGGTAATTGTGTTTCCTTCTTTATCCTTGACTGGTCTCTGGTTTTCTGTACTTGCCTACCAGTTTATTCGTCGTGTCACATAGTTGTCTCATATTTCCTTCTGCTTTAGCTTTTTCCGTCATCACTGCTAGCTGTTCCACATATTTTTGCTT